AGCCCCACCCCCCTCCCCTTAACCTAAAGAGCGCCCACCCTCCGTGCACACACCCACTCAGGGGAGTCGCCGAGTCTTGTCTGAAGCTCAAGCAACCAGTTGCACCTGGCTCCCACGCGTTCTGTATGCCCCTTGTTTGAACCTAACTGCTGCTGGAGCAAGACTGTAGCTGTGTCCCCTGCCGGGCAGGGCCTGCTCGGTCTCCTTTGAGCGCCAGGGCTGGCACGTGGTCTGCGCACCAGCAGTTGGAGTCTGTGTCCCCTGCCGGGCAGGGCCTGCTCGGTCTCCTTTGAGCGCCAGGGCTGGCATGTGGTCTGCGCACCAGCAGTTGGAGTCTGTGAGCGAGCTCTCCTGGCTCGGCAAGTCTGACGCTCTGTTCTTTGTTGGGCAGCTAAAGACGTGATTAAAGAGATTGAAGACTTTGAAGGCTTAGAGGCTCTGCGCCTGGAGGGCAACACAGTGGGTGTGGAGGCAGCCAAGGTCATCGCCAAGGCCTTGGAGAAGAAATCAGAGTTGAAGGTGAGATGGGTGGGGCGAGCAGGCCAACCTGTGTCCAGCCCTCCCACGTCCCTGTGCTGTTGGCGGGCACCTCGAGCAGCTCCTCTACCTCCTTCGAGCCACAGCATGACCAGGGCCCCTCACCCAGTACAACGTGGGCATCCAAGTCCTCTGGGAAGCAGACACTGAGATGGGCTTAAGGGTGTGAGAGATCGGGGGAAACTAGGAATGAATCAGGTGAGCCTTCAGGTCACAGTGCCAACAGGACTCTTGTGAGGAGGGAAGGGCACAGGATTGGGCAGCGAGAGCTCAGACTGGGATACGGTTCTGACCGACTCAGTCCGCTTTGCTGTGGGGTGCTCTGTTAGAGAAATGGCCAGCCCCTAGTCCCCCTTCTATGCTCAGTCATTGGCGATGGGCTGTCAGGGAAAGTGTGGCCTCAGCACAAGCAGATGCCACAGTGGCTGCAGCTGATGGCGAGCTCCTTCCTAAAGGTTGGAGCAGTGGTGCCCTCGTGGCTGACAGGGCCGTTCAGACCCCTCGAGCCCAGCATGTCCCTAAGTCGGTTCCCCGAGACGCGCTGTGGGAAATGGGATGGTGCCACTTGTCTGGAGTGTCTGCGGGTGAGTGTCAGTTCATGGCCCGCTCTGGGACGCCCAGCGTGTGCTAGTAGATGGCAGTCTCAGCAGAGGCATGTGGCGAAGAGACCTGTTTCCCAGCCGAACACGTGATGCACTGGCCGACGCTAGGCTCTTCTGCGTGTGTCGTGTCATCCACAGAGCAGCTCCCATGATGGAGACTGTCTCCGTTTTATACATGAAGGGACTGGGGCTCAGAGGAGCATCACGTGGGTGAGTAGCTGAGCTGCGTTCACACCCTGGGTCCAGTACTCCTTCCGTGGTCCCACTGACCAGGGCAGGAATACAGAGTGTGGGCCACAAGGGGAAACAAGGTGGGTTGGCCCTGGAGAGGGCCTTCCTGTGGACCCGGGGAGAA